GGGGAGGGTCATGGGGGCGGGGCTTGGGGAGGCGTGGGTGTGGGGGAAGGGCGGGCCTTAAAGGGGAGGACGCGAGGCGCCAGGATCTTGGAGGGCCAGCTGGGAGGCTGGGGGCTGGAGCCTGGCAGGGAGGGAGAGGGAACCGAGACATTCTAGTTCTTAACCAGAGCTGCAAAAAGGCGGGGTGGATGTCTAAAAGTAGCTGTGTAATTCCGATGAAAAATTCAGTTTTCTCCAATGGTCTGGATCTTTGAGACAGCAGTCGCGAATTGGGAGAGGGAACGAAAGGGAGGGATGGCCGGTAAGTATCCAGTTCGTAGGGACCTCGAGTTCTTATTAAATAATTCGAATATTCCCTTCTCAGCTTTGCATTTCTTTTCTCATAAATGTATTGTTTTTCTATGAAGAATTATTATTGTGTAACCATGTACGATTTAGTACTTATACCTTTGAGCCTTTTTTTTTCCCATGTAAATAACTAAAAGAGGATTCAGGGCAGGAAGAGGATGGACTGAGATTCAAACTGCCTGCATTCCTAAGAGCCTTTCCCACAGACTAGGCAGTATGACACCTTCAGACAAGCCTTGCCCCTCTTTATGGGGAGAATAGCAGTATCTTTTAGCAGGGCAGTAGAAAGACTTAGAGGTAAAATAGCAAAAGACCCAGTTCTGATTTTTAGTGTGGGAAAATTAGTCCCTGAACCTACAGCCATAAGGAGAGGTGGGTATTTTTGAAGAAGCCATGTTTTAATCCCGCTTAACCCTGTGTCTCTAAGGAAAATACCAAGGATCGAGATGGACCCATAACCCAGCCCAAGTCTGGGAAGGCCAGGGGAGCCCCTGAATGCACACTGCCAACGAGTCTCTGTGCACATTCTAATGGGGTTGGAAGTGGTCTTCAAATACATCCCCATTGACTGCTCTGTCCTCTCACTGGTTCAGGAATTGAGAAGACAAGGAACCAGGCAGGTGAAGACAAAGCCTCAGCTTAATTATTGATAGGGCCAAATTAAGGAATGGGGTTGTACTATGGCCACATAAGGTAACTAATATAATCCTCCAAAATTCCAGAGGGCAGAGAGCATCCTGAAAAAGGGATCAAGCCCAGGCAGTTAAGACTCTGGTACTGATGTTTTCTCCCTCATTCAGCTCTTTCAGGTGACACCTGTCCAGCGGGGAGGCAAGATAAGGGGATGGGATAAAGGCAGGAGTTACCCTCCTGCTGCCCCTTCCTGGAGCAGGCAGGGCTCACACTATGGAAGGGAGAGAAATGGTTCCCCCTAAGGCGCATAGCTGCTCATTTCAAGGAGCACTATTTAGCACGGACTGTGTATAGGTGGTGTGCCCAGCCCCATGGTGGTGGCTGGTGTAAATCTGGTGAAGGAGGAACCAGCAGATGGCGTCGTCATTGTGTCACTGGACTCCCATGTAGTCGACCGCAGCAGCTTAAAACTCAGGCCAGGTGCATGTGCGTGCATGCCCAAAATCTCAAGAGGAGAATGAAGGAGAACGCCATCCCCCCCAGGGAGTAGTTTCTCACTTTCTGTCTCTCTGTCTCTCCAGTGAGTACACGTACCCTATAGCAAAAGTCTTTTAAAAAAAAAAAAAAAACCCTCTGGTGAAGGAGATAAAAGCATACCAGTGGATGGCATCAGGTGGCAGACACAGGGACTCAAGACCAAGGGACTCATTCCATCTGCAGCCGCCAGATTCTTCCTAATCAGAGGGTAGGTAAGGTGAGAAAGCTCCTCAGATTCTCCCGACTCTCCAAGACCGAGGCCACAGGACTGGAAAACACCTGTACCACCCCAGTTCTACAGTATTGCTGTCACCTCCCCAAGGCGCACACAGGAGATGTCCAGAGTCAGAGGAGCACACAGCAAGTGGGCAAGAGACGGGCAGGCTCTTTCTCACATAGGAGGGAGCCCCTGGTCTGAGCCGCTCAGGGATCAGGGTTGGTCCTTTTTCTTAGCAGACTGTCCCTGTGGGCATCCTGTGGCTTGGTGTTGGGCTGTCCCCTGCATCTCTCCATAAGGTACAGTGGAAAGACAACAGACTCTGGAGAGAGGTGAGCTGAATTCAAGTCTCTGCTCCACACATTACCGGGAGTGAGCCTAGAACTACCCTCTCTCCATATCTAAAACAGTAAGAAAAACAATAAAGTCTGCTTTCCGGGCTGAGAATGAAATGAGATCGTGTATATGAGAACACTTCAAAAAATATGAACTACGGGGACCAGCAGGTGGTGTAGTGGTTAAGGCACTGGACTCTCACATAG